CCCGCGCGCTCCGAGGCCCGGAGGGGAGGCAGCCCCCACCCGCGGAGCAGCCCAGCTAAAACAACAATAAAACCCACCAAACACGCGGGTGCGCGAGCGTGCGCGCGCGCGCGCGCACTCACAAGCACACGCACATGCACACACATTCACGCGCGCACACACGTACACACACGCGCACACAGCACGCTGGACTGCCTTCAAGACAACCCCGGAGAAACAGTCTTTTGCAAGTGAGAAGGAAAACTGGTATTCAGTTTGAGGGGCTGCCTTTTAGACTTGACTTTCACCTCCTCCTTTTCTTCCCGGGGCAAGAATTGGAGCAGTGCAGAAATGATAACTTATCAATAAAAGACTTCGGATTACCGTTTTATTCTTTTTTCTTCCTCTTCCTAAATCAAACACAAAAGAGCGACACCCAGACAACCCTTGAGAAAATCCACACGTTTGTACCTGAGACACGTGAAGTAAGCGGCCCAGGGTTCTGTTACACTAACTCAGTATCTTTTTATTTAACGTAATATAATGCAGTGGTGTGTGGTTTGGGGAAGAAGAGTTTTATCTGCTTGTTCTTGTTCGTTCTTTGCACGTCAGAAACAAATATCCCCTTGTTTGTGCATTAGAAAGTGACAATTTCACCCAATTGTCATCTCTACTTTCCAGGTTGAGCTCCCAGATGCTTTGTGAATTTCCTGATCCTTATAGGATTTCCAGATCTACTTTACCACTAATTTGGGCAATTTTACTTTCGTGTCACACTTTCAGGGCAGCAGTGAAATCCACTAAATCCAAATAGAGTAAAATGTAGCATTTTTCCTGTTTCACGACTACTTTCCTTGGCTTCCCCCATGTTAGATTTTATCTGTATCTGTCAGCTCATTCTCTTTTACAGTATTCTTCACTTGAATGTTGATTCATAGAATAATGTGTGAGTACACTTTTTGTGTCTGTAAAGTGAAGGAAGTACTGTTTAGTTCAGTTTGGTGTGTTGAAGTTTTAGAAATCAATATTCATTCCAAAGTTTGTTTCTCTCCACCCCTTTGCCTTGAAGTTACAGGATCAAATTGTTTGCTCTTCCTACCCCTCCCCTCAAAAAAAAAAAAAAAGATGGACTTCTTCCAGCTCCTGTGAATACCACTTTAAAGAACCCTATTTTTTTCTCAACTTATATTTCCCCGTGTGTGTGTGTGTGTGTGTGTGTGTGTCCCTTGTCTTCTCTTTGCCACTATGTCTGGGACACAATTTAATGCACAATATCCCATCCATTAAGTTCTGGCTGAATGCGGGAGTATGTGAGTACTTGGCAGCTTTCAGGTTGATGGGGGTGGGGAAGCCAGTTTCGACTTTGACACAAGATGCTGAAGAGCCGTGATTGGAATTATTATTAGGGCTGTGAACATGGCCATCTTTTCTGTGGGATAGAAGAAGTGCCATTGAACTTGAGACTGGACAGACAAGATCTCTAAGTCACACCCCCTCCCTACCCCAACTAGTACAGTAGCTGGCAGGGAAAAGGTGCCAAAATACACAAGATTAACTCTAACTTTCTTTGAAAGAATCTTAGATCCTTTGTAACTTTAACTTTCCAACAGGCGGGAAAAAGTTAACTTTTGAACTCATACTTGAACAGACATTTAAATCAACCCTAAAATGGAATAAATCCAGAATCTCATACAGACATGCTTATGTGGTTAGGAAAGAATGCACGGGTAAATAAGCAGGGTGCATGTGTGTATCTGACTGGGGAGTTCAAGATTTAATCAAAATCAGAATTAGTGTTACTTTTTACTATTTATTGTATGGTGAAGAGCATTGTGAAGCACAGAAACTGACCTTTAAACTGCCTAAGTAAAAACTGCAAGGAGTTGTGAAACACAAAACGTTGTGGTTTCCAGTTTTTACATTTGAGGTTTGATGTTTTCATTTTAGGGTATGAGAGATGGAGAAAGCTCCAGTGCTGAAAAGTCCCTATTAAATCATATGTGGGCAAAGGTCAAGCACTGCAACTCACTGATACAATATCCTGCAGATTCCTGTCTAACTGATGGTGAGCACAGGAAAAGTGCTTGGGTAATAAAAGTATTAGGAGGGTAATTATCCTTGGTGGTTGGGACTGCATTCTTGTGCACTGGGAAAGGTTTTTACTGGCCCCCGTGAATTTTAAAGCTGAGTATTGTTGAAAGCTGTTTTAATAGGAAATTGATTAGCTGAGTGTTTCATACAATAAATGGTGACAGTTTCATTGTTCGATGTCCAGAATAAATTCTTTTTATTCTTTAGCAGATATTGGCATCCATTTAATTTTAATATGGTCAGACTGAGCTTTAGCATAATCATGAGTGAAATGTGATGTCAGGAACATCTGTAAACTTCGCAGTTGGAGCTTGTGACATCACTCAATTTGACAATATTATTGCTTTAAGATTTATTAACGTATTGTGCTGTTAAAATACTATGGGATGCATTTCAAAGATTAAGCTTTTAGAACATATAGATTGTATAAGCCCAACTATCTTCATAACTCTGCAACTGTTAAATATTAAAAGTTAAAATGCACAATTTTGTTGTTATGTCTTGTTTTGACTTTGAAATAGAATTCCAGTTTTCAAAGGAAGAATTAGCAAAGGTATGCAGAAAGTTTGAGTTGTTTAGCACTTGCAGTTTCTATACTGAAGACAGAGATTAGTTTTTTGGATAAAGCTTTCTAAATGTTTCTCTAAAACTGATCTATTTTGATGCCACAAAGGCATATGTAGATGACAGCAAAGCTAATTTGCATGAACAAAGAAAATGATAGTGTAGTCTTACTTTAAAGATCAACTATTTTGAAAAAAAGACAAACTACATCTCTCATGAGCTGAGAATGGACTATGGATACAGTGTGGAAAAAAAAGTGTGTTTACATGAGAGAGGAGAGAGAGAGAGAGTGAGAGAGAAAGAGAATATGAATGTAACTTCTGTTGTGAGTGAAGGGAGGCAATTATTATCCTGATTTTCAACGTTTAAAATAAATCACAGAAAAGTTATAGGCAACTGTTGACACTGTAATCCAGAGAGTGCATGTCTTCCGAAGTGGAACTGAATTGATGAACGGGCCTCAACTCTGTGGAAAAATGGAAATCAGCTAACCTTGCTAGGAGTCTGGCCCAGTCCATGTTCAGATTGAATGGCAGTTTGTGAATGTCCCAGAAATGTAGAAATACTTATAGGGATTTGTTTTTTTAACAGTTGAGTACAGGCATTTCAGCAGTGACATTGTTAACAGCGTCATTTTTCTCATTTAATTTTGTCCTCAGGGGACACCAAACAGCTCCCAGAGGAGAGAAAAAAAGTCCATGGTTATTTATTCATTTCAGTGAAAGGAAAGCCCTAGCAATGGGGTTGGGGGTGGGGAGAAGTAGCCCATTGTGAATTTTCTACTAGGAAAAAATTGCTACTCTAATTTGACAGTAGTAGTTTAAGGGCTGAGAGAGCTGGGCATGATTTTGCAATTCCCATCAAGTGCAGGCAATTTCACTACTTGTTGGTTGTTTATATATGCATTTTTCAAGTGGATTTTGGGTGTTCCTGCTTATGAATATAAACTTGTATTTTCCAGGCTACACGTGCATGATTCTTGTGGACCATTTGTAAAAGCAAAGATCCCTGGGCATGACTTAGTGGATACTTGCAAATTTACAGGTCTGTTTCCTAGGGTCAAGAGGTTGTCTGTCTATCTGTCTGTCTGCCTGTCTCTTTTTCACATTTGATTTTTAAATATTGTTATTGGCGATGTAGTTAGGGTGTGTGGAATTGTCCAGCCTCCACTGAAATCACAGGCAAGAGCTAAAAAGGGGAAAAAGTCATCTGGTGTATTGAAAATGACAGTTTTGTTATTTTCCCCTAAACTTTCCCTAAACTGCTTAGAATTCGCAACCTGTCACTAAATTTCTTAAGAAAGGAACCGGTTAAAAGAAAGAAAAATCAATATTGGGAGACACTTGAGATGTCAAACTTCTCTGGAGGTCAATGAAAGGCTTCAATTGAATAATGTGGTTTAAATTTTCAAATATACAAATTAGCTTGGATAAATCCTGTCCTAAACCACTGGCATTTTTTTCTTGAAATCAATAAACTACATGTCAGAAAGAAACTTTTTTCCCCCTGAAAGTTGGCAGGAACCAGGTGATCTAAGGAGATCTTTAAGAATTCTAAAACAACACATTTGTCTTTCTAATTGCTGCAGGAAATTTTTAGTTCTAGCTCCTTCAAATGCACAGTTTTGGGGGTGACCTTTGCTTTATCCCTTTTAATATGGAAAAGAAAGAAGAAAGAGATTAAGAGAGGGAAGTACCAAAGCCTGAGAAATAGCTGACCTGTTTTGATAGTAATACCAGAAACATTTTAGAGAAACTTTAAAGTCACTTTTATACCATGATACAAGACAAGCTAGGAAAAAAAGGGAAAGTGAATAAAATGATGTATCTGTTGATGTCTTCCTCTTCAATCTAAACCTGGGGTTTAAGAGGTTTTTTTTTTCTAGTAACTTAAGTTTGTGGACACCTATGCCCAGAGAAAGACAGCTGTCCCCACCATATCCAAATCCACTAGCTTTTCTTGACAAAAGGACCGCTGCAGTCCACCCTGGGAAGGCTAGCAATGACCTTGGCACTGGAGGATTAGAAACAGTGCACAGAGGGCCCTCTCAGTCATCCGCCAGCCTATAGTCCTGAGAGGACAGTGAAAGCCATGGACACTGTCCACCCACAAGCCATTCTGGGGTAGCTCTCTTGTCCATTCTCTCCTCCCTTTCTGCTTCCCACATTTCTCCATTAACTCCTTTCTCTTTTTCCCCCCTTTTTCTTGGAAACAGATCAAAAGCCCCAAATATTAAGTATCCTCTTTGCTAATCAAACTGTGTCCAGTCATACATGCCCTATAAACATGAAGTACCTGAAAGAGATTTGCACCCCTAAGTGACAGGCCTGGGAGGCCACAGACCACTTCACTTGCTGGGGTCTTACCTGGGTCTTTTGCTGCTTCTTCACCCTTGGTGCGGCTGCAAGCTTTTGTGGGCTCTTCTAATAGCTGTCAGATTTTTTTGTTTGTTTGTTTGTTTCAGTTTTCTTTTTTTAAGCTCGTGAGAAACTTTTGGAAGCAGCCTAGCTTTAGTGGCAAAAGGAAATGGTTTCTGTTGGAAAGGGAAACTCTTAGAGGAGGAGGGGTGTCTGCACACACTCGCCCAGGTCTCAGCCCAGGGCCTCTTTTGCCAGAGTACAGCCGCTGGTTCTGGGATCTCTGGCTGAAAGGAGCGCTCTCTGGGTGCCAGCATTTCACTGGGGGTGGTGTGGCGAGGAGGGAGGGAAGAAGGGAGGGAGGGAGAGAAAGAGAAGGATGGGCGCTGAGTTTTTAAAGAGACCCTTAAATAATGGCTTCTATAAGAGTCCAGGCATTCAAAGAGGTGTGTTCAAGGACATGAGTGCATTCGTGCCATGGAGAATGTCTTTTATGGTAAATTAACTCCGGTTAAATTGAATATTTGTTCAAAGGGAAACTCCAGTAGTTAAAGCTGGTATTATCAGTAGCGCTCCCCCCGCCACCCCCCACCCCACCCGGCGCCCCGCATACTGGTATGAAGGGCAAGAAAAGAGATGCGCAAAACGTGTCATACAAAGTGATGCTTTGGGATGAAAAGAGAGAGAGAGATTGCCTACAGATTTCCGAGAGAAGTATGAATTTCTTTGGCTTAACTCCGACTGTCACCTCAGTTCTTTCATCTATAAAGACCGCCAACTTTATGCCGGCTTTTCAAAAAGAAGACAAATCCCACACAAAGGAAATGAACGCGGTTCGAACGCGGACTGGAGAGGGTTTGCCTGGGGCAGGGGCGGAGCGGAACCGCAGCTCCCAGAGGTGTGAGCCTTCAAGGGTTAACTCGGGGGCAGTTCGAGAAAATTCCCCCGCTTTACCTGTCTTCCCAGAGCCCCCGCCCCCGGCCCCCCGCCCCAACCCGGCCTCCTCCACTCCCCCGCCCTTGCCTTTCTTCTTTGGGCTCTTGGTTTACGGGGGCTGCAGCTGGTAGACTTGGCAAGCTCGCCTCATTAAGAGCGCTCTTTGAAAACGGACTGTGTTTGAGCATTTCCCTAATGAGGACAGGACGGGGTTAAAAAGTGACCATTTCATGGTTGACTTGAACCTGCCTACTTTTCTTGATGTGTCGTTGTGAAATGCTTGATGTGGATAACTCCCACTTGGTGCAGGGAAAAAGTCACTGGTTCCTTCGGGAGCGCAGAAGGGAGTGAAGGGGAGGAGGGAGGTGGGGAGAAGCGAGCGAGACCCAGAGAAAGTTGAGGGACAAGATCTAGGGGGGGAGGAGAGCGGAGGGGGAGCAGACTAGCAAAAGAGCGCCTCGAAAAAGCCGCAACCGCGCAGTAGAAGCGAGACAGTCCCGCCCTGGGGATGGGGCAGTCGAGCGTCCAGGCCGGCCCCCGCCGCCCCCAGCTAGGTAGACGCGGAGCCCTTGGCACACACTTTTCCTCTCTCCTTTGTCTGGGCTGCTTTGGCTCTCACCTCTTTCCGACCCACTTGGGCCCGAGAACCGGATTTGGGGGGAGCAGGAGGAGGAGGTGGTGTGTGCGTCCATGCATGCATGCGTGTGTGTGAGTGTGTGTGTGTGTGTGTGTGTGTGTGTGTGTGTGTGCGCGCGCGCGCAGGCGCGCGCGCGGGCAACCGGTGCAAGGGAACTCGCCGCCCTCCAAATTCCCAAAATCAAGTTCATTCACTTGGGCCTGGAGCGAGCCGCGGGCGTGGGGGCGGGGCCCGGGGCGCGGGAGCGGGGCGGGAGCGGGCGCCCAGCGGCTCGGGACCCGCCGCCTCTGGAGGGCTGTCGCGGCACACGCACCCCGCGCGCGCGCGCGCCCGCCCGCCCCGCAGCCCCGCGGCCCCGCCCAGCCTGCACCCCGGCGAGGAGGGAGCCGCTTTCCGCCAGCGCCCCGGGCCCCAAGGGGTGGGGATTGGGAACCAGCCAGCGGAGCTGCAGGAGGAAAGCTGAGCGGACCGCGGGAGGAGGAGGAGAAGGAGGAGGAGGAGGAGGAGGAGGAGGAAAAAAGAGGAGGGTGCAGGCGGTGGCGGCTGGGCTTAGTCCTCCCGCTCCGAGCGCGGCCACGTGCAAGGGGCACCCCCTGGGAGGGCGGCAAAGTGCGGCGAAGCGCTGCGCGCGGTTTCTGCCGAAGTGCCCGGGGGCGTGGGCCCGCGCCGGGGAGACCCCCCGAAGACCCCGCCCCCCATCTGCGCGGGCGCGCCCCAACAACTTGAGTCCAAGTTCGCTCAGGCCCCCCCCCTCCCCGCCTCCCCGATCTCCCCCTCCTGCGTTCAGCCGACTGGCTAGGCGGACCGCGCCCGCCCCGGGTGCGAGAGTAGGCGCCCTAGCCTGGGCCCCGGGGCGGGCTGGGTGTGAGGGAATTTTCCATTCGTTCTTTATTCGGGCCCTGACCGGCTTGGGGTTTCTCCTACTCGGATGTTTCCGAGGCTTAAAGAGTCCGCAGCGAGCACCCCCCCAAAATAATTCACCCAGGGAGGGTTTTCGGGGCATGTTTGTGTGCGGTGGTGTGAGAAGGTGCGGGAATTGCCCAAACGGAGGAAAGAAAATCTATTTTGGAAGAAAAAAAAGTCAGGATTCTGTCGTACCGGAATGAGACCTTTAACAAACGAACGAGGGGGGAAGGGGGAGAGAGAGAGAGGGGAGAGAGAGAGAGAGAGAGAGAGAGAGAGAGAGAGAGAGAGAGAGAGAGAGAAGCGGTGGTGGTGGTGGTGGAGGAGGAGGAGGAGGAGGAGGAGGAGGAGGAGGAGGAGGAAGGTGGGGGGCGGGGGGTGTGGAGAGGCTGGTGCAAAAGGAATGCGCGTTTGCAGGAGGAGGAGTAAAGCGATGATTGTGTAATTAAATAATAAAACAATCCTTAAGTCTGATTTGGAGAGAGCGCGAGCGGGGTCCAGAGGGTGGAACCGGTGAATTTTTCAACTTCCAAGTTTTGCAACGAAAGAAAGCGAGAGAGGGAGGGGAAAAAAAGAGCCCAGAGCAGAAACGAGAGGAGTTTGGAGCCGAGTGGGAGAGCGGGATTTTAACGTTTGGGATTTTTCAGGAGCTCGTTCCGATCCCCCGGGTTCTGGGCAGCGGCGGCAGCAGCAGCAGCCTCCTCGCTTGGCCGGGTCAGACGCGGGGCGAGGCGGGCGGGCGGGCGGGCGTGGAGAAGTCGGCGCGGGCGGCGGCGGTGGCTGCAGCCGGGGACCGCGCGCCGCGAGCCTCTTCCGCCCCGGAGACCTGCGATCGCGCCCCCCTCCCTCACCCCGGCCTCTCCCAGCTCCCCCACCCCACCCCGCCCCCACCCCGACTCTCTCCCGCGCGCGCCCCGCCACCCGCGCGCACTCGCTCACGCTCCCCCTCGCGCACACACATGGTCGGCTCGCGGCAAAGTTTCGCCTGCGATCGCCACTCCGAGATCCTGCCGCAGTGCTCGGGGCTGTAACCTTGAACTTTCCCAGCGCGGTGACACATTCTCCTCTCTCTCCCTCCCGCCCTCTCTCCTGCGCCCCCCTCCCCGCCTTTTTTAAAAAAGCATTTCACTATCAACCACTACCCCAAATCCAACCCGTACACGATCCTTTGCGCACCCCCGATCCCCCAACAACAACAACAACAACAACAACAACTGCAAAACAGAAAACAAATCCCCAAACCCAGGCGAAAAAAAAAGCAGCCAACACCGGAGGCGGCGGCGGCGGCGGCCTCGGCGAGCACGGCCGGCGCGCTCGGACTGCTGGAGGGTTAAAAGTGTAGATTGGATTTCACCCCGGGAAATCTAGCTCGCCGAGTGAACTTGAATCTTTGGCTATTTAAGGAGGACTGGGTTTGTTGTGAAGTTGCGGTGATCCAGCGCAGAGCCCCGTCCTGATTGATTGCATCGCGGGGCTCAGATGACTGTAAAATGAATAGATGAAATTCTTGCTTCTCGAAGATTTTCTTGGGCATCTCCGGGAAAGTGCGTTTTAAGGCGAAGTCATGATGTATTCTCCCATCTGTCTCACTCAGGTACATGTCTCGGTCGCTCTCTCGAGCTTTCTCTCTACCCTGAAATGCCTTTGTTTTGTTGTGTTGTGTTCGTCTGCGGACAATTAGCGGCTTTGGGGATAACCTCCGCACCCTCGTCTCCCTCGTGGAAGAAGTAACCTGCAGTTGCGGCGGGGTTTGCGGGGCGGCGTGGGAGCCGGCGGGCGGCCCCTCGCCCACGGCCACCGCGCGCACCCAGCCCCTCGCCCCGGGCACGGAGAGCGGCTGCCCGCGCGCTGCCAGGGCGGCCGAGCCGGGTGAGGCCGCCGGGGTGGGCAGGGCCCGGCCCGCCGGCTTGAGTCCCCCGGCGGCCCCCCGAATGCTTACTGCGGCGTGGTGCCCCAGCCCTGGGTGCCCGCCACCCCTCTCGGTCGCTGCAGCGCTCAGGCGGAGTCTGGCTTTGGGGGATCTTTGGGGGGGACCCGAGCCCCAATAAACAACCCGTGAACTTGGGCGAGAGAACTTTAGCACGAGGGCGCCTCCGGTCTCAGTTGCAGGCAGTGGGCGGGTGAGGGAGAAAGTCGGAGGTTGTGGTCGGGGGACCAATTCCTTTGCTTAATTTGGGGATCTGGAACTCTGGTCCATAGTGGTCCGCACTTGGAGGTTTCCAGTGACCACATCACAAAGGCGGCCTTTGAGTTGACAGAGTTACTTGGTCGTGGGGAAAGCGGAGAGACTTTTAGAGAACATGTTCATTTTTGTGGAGACCTGTTCCTAGGACGATATCTGGGTGTAACTCGTAAGGCAGAAAGCAATGCTGAAAAAGTAAGGTGATAAGGGAAAAAAATTTCAACTTGCAAATTGCTCGGAGACTTTAGGAACAGTGTGATGGGATAAATGAGTGACTTTTATACTTTAACAAGAATAATTTATGCAATTTAAAGCCAGAGAATCAAATAAATAATGAAAGTGGTGAGACCAAATAGGCTTACCTGGAGGCAGTTTTCATCGCTGCCCAGCCAACTAAACAAACTGATGAACTAACTAAATATTTTAGCTCAAAGTGGGTATTTTTTTCCCTTATTTTTTGGCAGCAACATTTTAAAACCTGTAAAGGTGTGGGCAGTTGACTTTAGCTTTAGGAGGATGTGCCACAGTTGAGAATTCATAACCAATTTCTTTTGGCATTGGCATAAAAGCAGCAGTTCAAGAAGTATCTGTCTAGTCTGAGGTGTGTTACAATTTAAAAAAATTCAAATCACGATGATGCTTTTTTGTAATGGACAAATGATTAAGATTTCAATTGTATGACAATTAGAAGCCATTGTGATTCAAAAGGACTGAGGCATTCATAAATTCTGAATGAAGATGAAAACAGTGATAAGGCTTATTCAGTGATTGGATACAGTCCTGTAGTTTTTTGGCTGACACATTTTTTATTGTTTATATTTTGTTTGGCATCTGAGCATGATTAACTTAGATATGGCTATTTTCAGCAAGTAAATGTGTACTTTATTTTAACAAAACTGGAAAAATAAGTTGCTGAGCTCTTCATATTTTAAAAGCTATGAATAATGGCCAATAAATTTGATGACGAAACTGTTTCAGGTATAACCGATTGCCTTTAGTTTGGAAAGTTACCTCTAATATATCCCATCAGCAGGACTTTTTTTTCCTTTTTGTGATGAATCACATCCATTTGCTATTATTTATATATGGGATCATTATTTAATCATAATTCAAATATAGCAAATTGAGGCAAGCTTTTCACTTCCAAAGCACCACATCACTTATTCTCACCTGTAAGGAATTGCTTGCCTGTATTTATTTTTACTTCCATCATCGACTTTTCGAAAACACTGCGAGTGATTACATTGCATTTTTAGTTTCCTCTAAATATTTGCCGAAAAGTCACTAGCTTGATCTTAAATTGGGCAATTATAAATATTGCAGCATTGTGACATATGGAAAATGCAGCATGCATACAATATCATCATTGAGCTATCACTTTGTTTTCCAGGATAAATACTTGCCAACACTAATTCCTGATGATGAGTATTTGTTAATAATGTAAATCTAGGTTCTTGTATTAAAACTGTCTTTCTAATATTTAAGGCCTACACTAGAGAAGGAAATTTAACTTCGGAATGATGATATAAGTGACTTTATAGGTTATGAAAAGTAAATGCACATTAATTACTTTTCTTTCTCTCTCTCTTTCTTCTTCTTCTTCTTCTTCTTCTTTTTTTTTTTTTTTTTTTTTTTTGCAGTGCTGGGGATCCAACTCAGGGCCTCACACGTACAAGGCAAATGCTCTACTGCTGAGCTCTACAGCAGGCCCATGGATGTGACTTTTATATCAAGCCTTTAGTTTAGCTTTGTATTTATTATAAGAGCCAAAGAACTGTAGCAAAAACATTTTCTTAGAGTATGTAAATATGAAATAGAGTAACATTCTTAACTGGTTGGAAACTTTACCAAGTGTCTCAGTTGTTGCAATAGATATCTAGGTTGTGGAAATAATAATTCAAAAGGCGCTCAAGTTAAAATTGATAATTAGGAAAGTTATGCAAAATAGTCTATCAGTATAAATCAGTACTTCTACATGCCAGTATAAATTAGGTGTAAAAGGAAAATTAATAGCTTTCATGTAAAACATTTGTTTTTCTAAAAACAATGTAAATCCTTAATAATATAACTTTTACTCGGGACGGCTAAATGAACTTTTCTCTAATTATCTTTCAAATTCTTTAGGTATATTTTTAATCGTTTATTGTTACACAGCTAAACTCTAAGAGCGTCTAGTATTTATTCTTCCATCTCTTATTAGTCTAATTTTCCATCCTTTTCATGCGAACCATTGTTTCTGCGAAGAAAAATAAATATTTCCAATGGAATTAGGACTGTTTACTTTTATATTTGAAATTACTTACTTGACTATTTATTTTATCAATTGAATTCAACTAAAGGAAGTTTAAAAAGAGTAAGAATTAACGTCATTCTTTTTTAATAAAAAGTCGAAAGAACAAAGTGGCATATTCACTATAGAGCCATTAGATCTCAGATTACCTTTATGCTTTGCTTTTAAAAAATAATTTTTATAGTTGTGTGAAGTATGATTGTGAAAATGTTTGCATCTAGAATATTTGAATACCGTAATTGGAGTGACAAAGACAGTTACTATGCTTCGTATTCATGTCATCAAAAGCATGAAAAATAAATGTAACTCAGCATTAGAGAACAAGCGCTCTTGGGAGGTGACATTCTAAGCATGTAAATACAGAAATTCATATGACTTTTGCTAACCTCCTCCTATCATTTTTTTTAATTATATCTCTCTTTAGGAAGTTAGTATGCCACTAGAAAGAAATCCACGTAATCATAAAGCCCTGAACAATAGTTATAAGGCAATTTTGTAGACTGAGAAAGTTTGCTACTTTTATTTATCAATATGGAAAGAGTACGTTTTAACCTTGGTTGCACTAGCAGCAAATCCAAGGCAACCTTAAACTGCTTTGTGTGTATTTGTTAAGAAATTACCAAGCATTAGTTTTGCATTTTCTTTAAAATTACTTACTCAGTTTTTTGGATTTGTCACATGATAGATGATTTGACACTCAAACTTAATCAAAAGTATGTTTGGCTTCTTTATGAGAAAATGAAATGTCACTGAACATAGTACTTAAGGATGTAAGTACTTAAGTTACTGCATTACTTAATGTTTGTTAAGATAATGTTGCATTTTAAAATGCGTGGCAGGGGTAAAATGAGAGACACGAACCTTTCCGTGCTTCCCCACATGTACTCTTTACATTCTTAAGTTTTAGTTTGAATAAACATATATATGTATACGTATGTATATATTATTAATCATGTCAATAAATCATACTAAAAGCCAGGTTATAAGAAGTGAGTCCCCAAAACATGTTTGAGTCCATGTTACTTTGAGCAGTGTTTCCTTTTGCATATGTTTATAAGGGGGATAAACAAAGTTTTTGTAGTTACAGTGAAAGCTAAAGGCATGGCATCAGAAAGTGTATGGAGATAGGGAGGTCTTATCATGGGCTGTGGTTGCAGTGAGCAGGGCTGCCTTCCCACACAAAGAACAGATTGTGGTTTAACTCTTTCCATGGCCTAGTTTAATGTGCTTGCATAGTAACTGAATTGTTCAAATCTCTGCTGGAAACTACTGATCGGTTAAATGATTTCCTCTATGGCATTTGGTTATGCCTCGTACCGTGATGTAATCACAAGAACTCTGTATTGTTATAAAATTTTGATTTATACTTATTCAGCTGTATTTTTAGGCAGTATATTAAAATACTTGGTAACTGCGTCATTGATTGGATGGGATATGCACTTCTGTATCTGAATAACCAACTATTAACATACCGTAGTTTTAGCATGGAAACTAAGAATTTCATTTTATAGAGTAGATTCATAACTACCTGGCATTTTGAACTCCTTTGTTAGAATGTCCTTAGTTGTACTTTCATCTTCTTTACCTAATGGAGTTGATCATTCTTCTGGTTAAATGGAATTTATTCTATTAGTTCAGGGTGAATAGCACTAGTCTATATTTCCAACTGGGAATATGATCAGTTAGAGAAAGTTACTTTGTGGTTGGGGTGACAATATAGTCAATGTGACCTGAGAAGTAGCTGCAGTGGAAGTTTTCTTTTACTTCAAATCTTGGCTTGTTTATTGCATATATCCAGTGTGTATGCACATGATATTAAGTTTTCTCTGAACAGTTACTAGGCCTGAGCTTAAGAGTGGATTTTATCTTTGGCAAAAAGTAATACAACACTGACTGCTTTTGGAGAAACATGAATGTAGGTAAAAATTATCTGCCACTTCTCATCACCCGCCTCCCTTAAAAGAGGCTTGGGATGAAACAGGGCAGGAAAATATGCAGGAGCCCAAGGAAAATCACTTCCTTCAAAATATGGGTACTGTATGATTTATACATGTACAGTTTCACAGGCACATACATATGTGCACCCATTGTCCTGTCTGGGAATTCCTGTATGTAGCAAATGAATTGTCTTCCACAAAAGCAGTAAGTGACCAGCGGTGCACTCCTGGTATCACCCTGCCACCGCATGCAGAGACACAAAGAATGTAAAGTTGGTGCCAAGTTGCCATTTTTCATTGTTCACCTCAGATTGATTTTTAAGGGGTTTAGAATAATTGCCATACTCATGTGATCGGTTAACAAATTAACTGACTCTGTGGGGCTTCAAACTGCATAGGGAAGCTGCCGGAAGAACATTCATGCAATTTACTTTCAACTTTATGAACTTTAAAAATGCAAGTGTGTCTGGGTATCTGTGAGAGAGTGCAAGAATGTGAGCTAGTAGTGCGCGTGCGTGTGTGCGTGTGTGTGCGCGCGTGTGTGTGTGTGTGTGTGTGTGTGTTTGGGCTTAGTGTTGGTGGTGAAGGAAGAGAATGCACTGCTTAAAGTATGGAAACCTTCTGTTTAGGACACTGATATGACGCGCCTTGTCCTTTGCCCACTTTCCCTCACTGTGTACCGGTTTCTCTAGTTACCACTCTTGGAATGGTGCTGTTTCAGTGTTGGAATGTTGGACGTTTGATAAGAAAATGGATCAAGTTTAATGGCGCATGCTCTTTGTGCCACCAGCAGCCTCTTGCTGAGAGCATGCTCCAAAAGCGGGAACTGTGTGGCATTCCACTGAGCATCTATATGCTTTGTGTTTCTGTGCCACAGAGAAGAGAAATGAACTGTGGCACCGCTCCTGCCTTCTGAACAGTTCTGCTCCGATTTAAAAACAAAAAACAAAAAACAAAAAAACAAAACAACCCACCTCTCACTGTGTTCTTTGTGAAATGGTACTGCTTAGGTTTAGTTGGTCAATCAAATATTTAAAAATTAAATTAGGTGCCAAGCACCTTGTTTGCTTAGGTTTGAAAGAATGTGGCTGCAGGCTGGAAATGAGGGGGGATGGGGCCCAGTGTTGAAATATAAAATAGAAACCTTCATTCTTTTTCTTTTATCTTCTTTTTTCTTTCCTTGGGCGAACCAACCTGTGAATTTTGGTAGAGAAGGGGCATCTCGGCATACTTAATTTTCTCCCTGTCTCACTGTTTTGGTAATTTCAATAAAAGAATATTATTTTTTCCGCATAACTTTTGTACTAAATTGGGAATGGCTTGTGGTCTCCTTTTATGAGCTTTTAAAACTAAACTAACTGTGCCTGTCTTCTCTCCCCCCACCCTCCCCCATCTTCTGCAGGATGAATTTCACCCATTCATCGAGGCACTACTTCCACATGTCCGTGCAATCGCCTATACTTGGTTCAACCTGCAGGCTCGGAAACGCAAGTACTTTAAAAAGCACGAGAAGCGAATGTCAAAGGATGAAGAAAGAGCAGTCAAAGATGAGCTTCTCAGCGAAAAGCCTGAAATCAAACAAAAGTGGGCATCCAGGCTCCTGGCCAAACTGCGCAAAGATATCCGCCAGGAGTACCGAGAGGATTTTGTGCTCACCGTGACTGGCAAGAAGCACCCGTGCTGTGTCTTATCCAATCCCGACCAGAAGGGTAAGATTAGGAGAATCGACTGCCTGCGACAGGCAGACAAAGTCTGGCGTCTGGATCTAGTCATGGTGATCCTGTTCAAAGGCATCCCTTTGGAAAGTACCGATGGAGAGCGGCTCATGAAATCCCCACATTGCACAAACCCAGCACTTTGCGTCCAGCCACATCATATCACAGTATCAGTTAAGGAGCTTGATTTGTTTTTGGCATACTACGTGCAGGAGCAAGGTAGGAGCAGATCGTTTTTTCTTTCAACCCGGCAAACACTGCCCACAAACCCCGTGTCTGGAATTTCTGCCTTGGGTTAGCTCTAGGCCCTTAGATCTCCTTCACCTACTCTGGATAGAGTGGTAGACCCTTTTCTGTTTACATGATCACTGCCATGTGCAAGCCTTGGAAAGGGACATGAAACTTTCCTATTTGGATAGGCATGGGTGTTTAAAGATAGACCACAAAGAGATGTGTTTTCCAATGTCTTTAACCTATGTTTATGTATGTATATGGGTATATATATTTTTTCTCTAAGAATATCTTCTCATAGAGTTTATTACACTTCACTTTTCTATCTTAGGCTACACTTTCTGCATCTAGTCATTTTTTTCCCCAATTGAAAAATGAATCTTTATTTATGAATGGTCAAACCGCTCCGTGCAAAGCTTTGTCATAGCCTTTAAGTAACAAGGTAGATGAACAAATCCAGGCTATCACACTGAAAAGAGAATACACATTTCATATTACAAAATACTTAATATATAACTTACCAGAAAGTATATCTTAAATGGACCTAGATTTATTTAATTTAAATAGTCCTATTGATACCTACTTTTGATTGTGTAACATTTGCTATAAATTGAATGGATTATAGCTTTTGCTTAAATGATTTATGTTAGGATATTTCCTGGAGTGATTTGGGAACATTTAGTCTCATTAGTTCACTTAAATGTAAATGCATGAAACTTACCATGGTGGAAAAAAGACGCAGCTCTCTTTACAGTACATTACAGAACAAAAACAGAAGTGGACTGGTTACACTGGTTTAAAATAAATCTCAAAAAGAATGTAGAACCCGCATACCGTACCTATTTAAGAAAATATTTGATAAAGAAGGTGGTATAAATGTTGCCTGCATGATTAAAAATAGGTGATATTTTGGCTACTTTTTGAATTTATGAATTATTTATTTTTTCTTTGTATTAACATACCTATTTAAGTAGCTGAGAATTTCTTTTTTTCAAATGTATGTTGGGATATAAATGTCCTTATATTAGTAATAGTCCATAGCAAGCAGTAAAATGTTTCAAAAACTAGCATGCCAAAAGTGAACTGAAGTTTGATCTCCCACACATGGTGGGTCATTTCCTAACTTGGCCTGGCAGTTGGGAATCTGACCTGTAGATCGCCAGGTGACAGGCAGTTATCTGATGATCTTTATATAAACATAGGATTTAATAATTTGGTATGAACATCATTATCAGTCAAGAAACCAAAAGTACACTTTTAATTCAGAAATATAGCACTTTACTATGTGCTTTTTGTCTTTATATTTTTTAGATGTGGTTTTAGAGGTGTGCTTAACTGTCACTTAAATTTTTTTGTTTGATTTAAAATAATGGTGCTGGACTACATATATTTGGAAGTAGTTCCTTAAAAAAGATGAATCATTACGTTTACTAGTTTTATGCATTTAAAAGTTAAAATTCCAGTAGTGATGGTTTAAGGCAAAATACTTTTTCTCCCTGTGTGTTCTAAAATAAAAGCTCATTCATACATGACACTTTATTTGATTGACAGCTGTCTAGGAGGTGACATTTTAAGGTGGGTTGTATATGTTGTGTTGGATTGATTGTAAGCGGGTTGTAGCTATGTAGTGAAAGTCAAGTCTGGAAGTAAAGTTTTAAAAAGTGGGTCATGAAACTTTTTAGTGCAGAGAGGAGAGATGGGAAGCCACCTCACTGCAGTGCACATTTTAACTAGCTTGGAGGTTAGTTTTTTTTAGGTGTGTATGTATGTAAGTTCACTCCCAGGGCAGATAGCCAAGTGCTCAGGTTGATGAACTGACAATAACATATCATTTGGATTTGTGGAGCTAGGTTGAAGAAAGAAAAATGCATAAATGTCTTCTGCACCATTGGTCATGGTAATATAAAGTTTTATACAACTCCTGGAGACTGTTTAGAAAAAACATTGATTTTGCTGTTGCTTTGACAGTGTGTATCATAAGAACCTCTCATTATTTTGCCCTATGAGTCTGATTTGTATCCTCTGTTACCTGCCAGTTCATCTCTTGGTAACATCTGTTGGTTTTTTGAAAAAGTCACATCAGGATGCTTTTGTGCTTTTCTTTTTAGAAATTTAGACACATATATTTTGTTGTTGGTGGTGAATATAGGTTAATTATGCGAGTTTGTAGTGCAATTAAGGAGGCATTTTTTTAATGAAAGAAGTCTGTAGTCAGTCAAAGGGATGCATATTTTCCATTACGACCTTTTATTTTTCCTCTAAGTTCATGGAAACCCACTTGTCTGTTTTATAAATCAGGTGAAGAAGTATTAAAAAAAATAAAAGAAAAACCAGCAAAGAAAAAATGTACTGTTCGCAAGAGAATGGGCAATTACCTTTCCCTCTTTTTTCCCCTCTCACTTTCCACTTCTAAACGACTGGGAGGAAAACATGAGAAAGAACAGAGAGAATGCCAAAGATGGTTGCCACTGGCACCAGGATTGGCATCAGACCCTCTTTGTTTAGCTCAGGATGCCTGTGATTTGTTAGTTGGCATCCGCATTGCAGTGTGGAGTGATGTTACAATATATTGACAATTTCCAGATCTAGAAATGTCAATAGTCCTCTTGGTTATTTACACTAGATCACAAACTGCATTTCTTCTGGACTATGAAATAAAGACCAACATATAATAAAGTTCCATTGTTGGCCAACTTTCTAAGCTTTTCTTTTTCCCTCTTTCTCTTTTGGTTCAACCCTCTACTTTTTTTTCTCTCATGCTCAGCAGTCTCATCATTTTGGAAGCGTGGAAAGAGTTACTAGGGCTTTGACCCAAGCTAGAGTGCTATATTCGCATCTGATAATGGGTTTGCGAAAAATTTAGGCATTTTACAATCATTTTTGATATATAGTTCATTAGACTTTCGCATCAGATGGCCGTAAGGCAGTATTTTCTTCAAAGCTAAATCCCTTTGTTATTCAGCTTCTTCTATGAATATTGCCTGGTTGACCGCAATTTAGTCCGTTTTCCTATTTCTTTACATTTCTAGGGGTCATGTTGGATCTAGACATTTATAGAATCACAGAACCCCCCACTTTACCTTAAATATACACATCATGTGGGAGCAACTGCATTTAAATCCATAAAAATCATTTGATGTTATTGATTCAGAGGGCTGCGCTTCGGCTGTTTCGTTGCTACAAGAACCGCCATTTTGTTTGTGAAGTGCCAGGCGAGGGGGAAAAAAAAGGCAGACACTGTGCTTGATGCCAATAATGGTTGCCAGTGGCACCGAGGTTGGCATCAGACCCTCTTTGTCTAGTTGCTGAATGCCTTTGATTCGTTGGTTGGCATCCGCATTGCAGTGGGCACTCTGGAAAGTTTTTGACAATCCCTGAATGAAAGCTGCTTGCTTGTTTGCTGCAGCAAACCTTAGCTAATATAAAATCCTTCCTTAAAAAAAAAAGATTAAACAAAAAAAGACTGTGACAGATTAAAGGAAGAAATGGCTCTAAAGTAGCCTCCATTTTCCCAAAGATATTAAAGATGTCCAATAATTCTTGGGCAGGTGGTACCTATTCCCCATATTGCCTTTGTTACTGCATTCAGCAAAGCAAAGCAAAACAAAACAAAACAAAATCCAGGCAAGCTTTGCACAACACACCTTCCTGGGACATCCCTGTGCTCTTGGATTCTCTGCATGCGGTGAGAAGGGCGTGAAAGACTAGGAAAAATAGTGAGCAGGAATTCAGTCATCATGACGGACTATTGCCTTCAGGTTTATCACTGCTCATTTCTAACCCAAATTCTAGCCCCCTTCTGCTCCCCCACTTCCAAATTTCATAGTAGCATGTTGGGAAAAATCTTACTTTTCCCCTCCTAGTGATGTGTAAGTGTGTTCATATTAATTTTTTTTGGTTAAAGACAATCTTCCTGAGACAACCTGTGTGGTAAAGGCTGTTTATTAATCATATATTTCTGAATTTCTGAATTCTGCATCAAATTGTGCCAGTTTCCAGAACACAGTCCTGCACAACACAGAAAAACAACCCAAAAGTCCAAAATCATTTTGGTGCAAGTTTCCTAGATAGTTAGCATTAATATTGCTTTCAGGTTAACCACCATTATCCCATTAATTAATAAGAAGGATTAGCAGTTCTACCCAAAGGGCAGCACAGAAGGAAGTCTGGTCTATGGGAGGCCTTGAGGCTCTGTGTCCTGTGGGAAGGCAGGGGAAGGAAGGGTTTGGGGGGCGGGGAACATCTTTCTCTGAGGCAGGGAATAGTTTTCAAGAGAGGTCACAGCACACTAAAAAGTTTAGTGATCTTAAGAGATAGTAACTGTTGTCGTGACTTCAATGGATTAGAGTTTTAACTCAGTCAGCCTGAATGAGTGTTGGACTGTACTTTGCACTCTCATTAAACATGTTTTGGAGTCCAGGAACCTCATGGCTTTCACAAGAGCAGTTTCCTTTAGCCTTATGAGCCCTTAAAATTCTGATCCATTGTGGAATGGAAACTTTTGTTGTTTTATGGTTAGGTGTTATGATAATTAAAGTATATTTTGAAGCGGTGAAAAAGGACCATTCGCAGGGGAAGTTGTAATCATTATTACTGTTTTTGAAATAGAATCCTTCCTGGTTGTCACATATCATTAGTAAGGAAGAAAGCACTGAGGGTTATTTTCCTTATTTCTCCTTTCCTCTAAAAAGTCACTTGTAGAATCCTTTCAGGTAACGGTCATTTCTTTCTGAAATGCTTAAGTAGATACCTATTTTCAAGTTGACATTATATTTTAATATGTTTCGCTTCATTTTGTAGGTGTTTCTAATATTGTGAAAGCTAAGTTTTCCAAGTTTCTTTAATGGAAGCTGCAGCCACTTCATACAGGTTGTGTAGAAGAGCAGCACTCTATGTGCAGGTTTGACTTAGGGGGAACACTGTTAAGTTTTCCCATGGAGCATCCTGTCCTTGACTGAACTCATGAACTCTAGTGCACATTTGTTTGC